TCCTCTCTAGTTGAATTATGCTTATTCAGTTTCCCAGTAAGTCCAAAACAAAAAAAAAACAAAAAACAAAAACTGTACGTTCTCATTGCTCTAAGAGCATCTCCACCCACAAGGGCTAAGTCTAAGGCAAGGGCTGTCACTATTCACGTAAATAGTGTCAGCCTTTGCATTTGTGGTTCCACCCACAAGGGCAAAGTCTAGGGTAAGTCTAATGCAATTACTATTCATTGTACTTTATTTCCTATTTTTTTTATACTTTAAACCATTAATTTTGATAATCTTTTCTAATTAAATTTTCGGATAAGATTTTCACCCTCTAAAATTGTGCCACGTGTCCCATATCAGATACGATTTTCAGATATTGAAAAAAAAAATTATAATATCAGATTTCAGATAAAATTTTCACAATCTAAAATTGTGCCACGTGTCCAATGTCAGATAAGATTTTCAGATATTTTTAAAATTTTATAAAAAATTATAATCTCATATTTCAGATAAGATTTTCACCCTCTACAATTGTGCCACGTGTCAAATGTCAGATAAGATTTTCAGATATTTTAAAAAAATTATAATTTCAGATTTTAGATAAGATTTTCATCCTCTAAAATTGTGCCACGTGTCATCTCTATCTTCTAAATCCCTCTATAAAACTACACCATCAACTCATACCTCTCACACCATCTCTTAGCTATTCCTTCATTTCTTAGATTTTAGAAAACACATTCTACTCTCAATGTCAAACTTATCGAGGGTGTTGGAGAGGCAACAGAAACAAAGGGAAGAAATCCGGCGTAGACGTGCTCAAGAAGATCGGGATGCCAATGAAGAAGAGGAACAACTGCTTGCAGCAGCGGTGTGTATGATGAATCAATCAAGGCAACACCGTCGTCGTCGTCGTGCCCCGAATGTAGACAGACGTAGGGAGTCTCGGGGTAAAAATCTCATGGAGGATTATTTTATCCCAAATTCGTTATATTCTGCTTCTAAGTTTCGAGAAAGATATAGAATGCAGCCACATTTGTTCCAAAAAATCATGCATGATATTTGTAATTACGACACATACTTCATTCAAAAGCATGATGCTGTTGGAGCTTTGGGTCTTATCCCAGAGCAAAAACTTACAGCTGCTTTGCGGATGCTTGCTTATGGGGCATCTGCAGAGCAGGTGGATGAGATTGCAAGGATGGGAAAATCTACTGTCCTAGAGTGCTTGATGAGATTCTGTGATGCAGTGGAAAATTTGTACACGAGGGAGTACCTTCGCAAACCCACGCCAAGAGACCTGCAACGGCTTCTAAAAAAAGGCGAGGCTCGAGGTTTCCCAGGAATGATTGGAAGCATCGATTGCATGCACTGGCAGTGGAAGAACTGCCCTACTGCTTGGCAAGGGGAGTA